TTCTTCATAATTCTTCTGCAATACAATTATGAACAACTCTTAACTTTACCAAAACTGAATATTTTTCCCAACTTCTAATTCCCCAAACACAAATCATATTCCTTTTTACACTTATCCAAGGATACCTAAACCCTTCTAACATTATCCTAAAGAATCTCTTATCAGATTTCATCCCAATTCCTGGATAATCACAACTAAATGACCAAAAATTCATTTTTATACTTTTGACAAATTATAGGAGAACTTAAAGGTTCTAAGAGTTCTAAATACACTTGCTTAGACTCTTTCCACTGACTAATTTCACTCTCGGCCCCAAACTCTCATTTTCATTTACTCACTTTCCCAAAACCAGAATAGATCGAACACTTATGCAGAGACTTCAACCAGTTCACAGGTTCCATCATTCATCAATTCAACACAATCCAATTCATATACATGCAACCATCCAAACAGTAATTTCATACATAGAAAATCATTATTAAATTAACTAGCATTCTTTACCTCTTAATCGGACCAAGAGCTCAACAACTGCAAAACTTTGCTCACAACACTAGAAAATCATAGAACCACCTATATCTCACCGATTGATGAGAGAGATCAACCAAAAGACCAAGATAAGACAGAAATAAGAAGAGGAAACTGATGAACAATCAACCAAAATCGTGGCTTGCATTTACCTCAAAAGTTTTCAGAATTTTCACAAGAATGAAAGAGGACGAACTACCAACCATAAACTCAATTGATTGGTGGAAGAGAAGCCCTTGATTCCTAGATTGCTTAAGCACAATTTGACTGCTGAACATATAGAATGAGATAGAAGAAATATAGAGAGAAAGAGGAGAAAAGATAGATCAAAAGGTTGGAGAGAGATTGTGCATGCAGAGAATGAGATGAATTTTTGAAACTTTTATTTATATATGACTCTGAAAACAAAGCGTTCCAATTCTGGCGCATACATTGTCTTCCTCCAATTCTTAAATTTTTCAGTCCTTACTAACATTTGAATCACATAAAAAATTATTAAGTAAAAATATATGAATATAAAACATGTGGGACACATTAAACTAATTATAAAAATATAAATAAATTATATTTATTTACGAGAAAAAAACTTAAATCACTTATATTGTGATATAAGATTAAAAATTAAATTAACTAGTTTATCAATATAATTTTTTTTGTCATAAATAAAATGATAAACTTTGATCTCCATGTGCTTAAAAAAATAAGCCCTGTATAATTTTCCTTTAACAACCCAAATTCTTCTGTACTCTTTATTAAATACCCTAATATCATAAGATATGTGTGATAATATAATTGGCGAAAAGTGATTCATCTTACAATTCTTAAACTATAACCAACATGTGCTTCAAACTACATTTACAATAATTATAAGTACTTCAAAACATAAAATAAGAGCTTAATATAAGTTTTTTTTTTTACTAAAGTTAAACGATTCCCTGATATTATTCCTATGTTTAATATTTTCGATTTCTTATTTCAACTCCGGTACTCATATCACTATTATCAACTTCGATTTTTTCTCCTGTATATATACAATATATATATATATATATATATGATCATTGCATATGAAAAAAAAAACAAGAGACACAATTACAAAGGTAAGTTAATTTTTCAAAAGCATGAACTCAGTTAAAACAAATCATATCTTATTAAAAAGGTTGTCCAAATAAAACTTTGAAATAAAATAAAATTTGTAAAAACAAGCTAATACACTTTTAAAAAATGATGAAAAATAATACACCACAATTAGTGACTAATCAAAATAAATATAATTAAGAATATCAAAGTATACTTGAGAGGAAAAAAATAAATTTTTAAATTATATTGTCTCATTTCTTCGTGTATCACAACTTGATTATTCACTCAAAGTTTTCTTTAAAGGTCAACATAAAAAAAAACTCACCTAATACATTTATAAAAAAGGAACTTAATATAAAAGTAATAATAACTTATAATAAATATAATAAAAACAATCTTTGATGAACTTCTTTGACTAATTCATTTTCTTTCTTTTTTCATCTTAAACTAATCCATTACTTTACTTCCATAGTTCATTCAAGAGAGTGTTATTAATTTATATAATTGCTTATTTTAGAAAAGTTGTAAATAATTTTTAGTAATCAATAGTTGTAAAAGCTCTATATAAGTTTTTTTATGGATTTTGGGCAAGGAAGAAACAACATGGATGGATGGAGGTTTTAATGATACTAGAAGTGGACCATTATTCTTCTTGCATAGTTTCTTTCTAATTTTAAATTTCATCCCAATGATTGACATGATCTATTTTGGTTGTAAGTCTTTTTTCAAAAGTAATAATTTTTTTGGATTCTCAAATATAGATGGGAAAATGTATAATTAATATGAATTTAAAGTTTCACAAATTTTCAAGATTGAGAAGAATTAGTCAATTTATATTTAATAAATAGGAAACCATTTAAATAATATTTTTTTTATGGTTCCTAACGTCACTTCGGAACTTTTTTAATAATGTATATAAAGTGTTTAACTTCTTTTAAAGCCTACCTTAGTTTTTTTTTTTATCATAAACCTGGTTTAATTCCCACACGAATCATATTTTTTTTAATAACATTTTTTTAATAATGTCTTTTTACGATGTAAACATTGAAAGAAATTATATTTTCATTACATTGTATATTATATATAATATATATATCTATATATATATATAGATATATATATATTATATATAATAGATATTAGTTTAGTAATATATTTGTCAAAAATCATACTTGCACTCTCTTTAAAAGTTATTGTTTTCTTTCATTATACTTTATTTTGTTGATTAAAACATTTTCAATTTTTCTTATTAATTTAGTTTATTTCTATTCTTTAGAAGTTTATTTTAAAGGAAACAATTTAAAAAAAATAAATAAACGAGTAATAACTATACTTTTAAAACGTGATCAAATATTTGAACCGAAAATCGAAATATTACTCAATAAAGTCAAATGATTCTGTTAATTTCATATTCAAGTGATAAAGTGCACCTATAATATAACCGTTATGCAATCGTGTATTAACACACGTACAATAATAACCTAGTTAACTTTTTATTTTATTCTTTTTATTGGATTAACTATATATATTTTTTATATTAATAATCCATAAAAATAAACTCTTGGTTATTTTTTAAAGACTAAAGATAAGATTTAAGGCAAATAAAATAGAAAATATTATGTGGTGAGCGTTTCACATTCTGCAAGTTGTTAGAGATGCGGTTGAGGCCCATTTCATTCCCTTTCAAAAATTCTATATATATAAAAAATTATAAGGATTATTGTTTATTTTTTTACTGAGAAAATTTCAAGAAGATGAAAGGATTATTATTGTAATTATTATTATTTGAATACAAAATAAACCATTAACTTCACATGGAGTTAAATATATTTAGGAATGTAAAATTGAGTGTGCAAAGACAGAATCACCCTTTGAGTATGTGGATGAATAAAGAAGTGACGGAGGGTAAAAGAGTGATTTGAGAAATGGGTATAAAATTCGTAGGGTTATTATTTTTTCTTCTTCACCATCGAATTCATTCATTCATTCATTGGCACCTTGGAATCTATTTTATAATAACAGTGCCATTATTATTCTCTTTAAAAAGCTTCTTCCTTGCTGTCATTTGCATGATGAGAAGATGATGATATCTTCTGATATTGGTAGATTAACCCTTACATTTATAATATCATCATATATTATTACTATTTTTATTTTCTCTTAGTCTTTTTTATATAAACAAAACCTGTAGTTTCATATTTCTTTTCTGCTTCTGGATTTGCATCTTGTCATATTCTTTTTAATGTAAGTCACGGTTATATATTCTCTTTATTTATTTTTATTTCTTTTCAACTTCTTTAATGAAATATAATGCAAGAGAGTTGCACACTCACACAAAAAGATACACACTTTATTGTGATGGATAATGGATAAATGATAATCTTTGCTTCTTTAGGAATTTATATATTTTTTTTTATTAACCTCCATTAGAGGGTGGCGAAATGCAAGAAGGACAAGAAATCCGATTTGAATTTTCTTTGGAAAATTGAAGTTTGTGATACTTTTTGGTATTGGAGGGATGAATTTGCTGGCATGATGACATCAACCCAAGAATTCCCTTTTATCCTGAAACAGTATCAAATTATAGAGAAAGATCAATTAAAGTAATGACTTGTTTTATGCATTGCGTATTTATGTATGGAAAAAATTGGTTTGTCAGGGTTATGTTTATACAGAGATATAGATGCATACATATATACATATTTACAGAGAGAGATATTGGGTAATTGCAATAGAATAGAATACCATCCTATTCTACCGATGTCAGGGTTCAGTTATAGGCTATATAGGTCTGTGAACAGTGCCTGGGGTTTGGGAGAGACTAGAAAGGGACTTTGTAGAGCGTCTTTATTACCAAAGTCTAAAAAGGTTTTTCTTGATTAGCCACTGTTGTTTCAAAGACCAGAGCCCTGAGCTTTGTTTGATGGGTTCTTGCTGTTACATCCTCGGTAATCTGAGGGAATTCATGGCTGTGTCACAGCTTTTCTGTACTATAATACCCTTTTCTTGGGCTTTGTATCCTCCTTCTCACTGCAAGTTATTTCACCACCACCCCTTCAGCCTGTTGTGTGTCCTCCTATCAGGGTTCGTGGCTTGTTTCAGTCCTGAACCTCCTGCTGCACGGTGATTTTATTGGCTTCTTTCTCTTTATTTTTCTAATTTATTTTTTATTTTTTATTTAATTATTTCATGGGACAATTTCTTTCTGCTTCTTCTTATCCTGTGAACTTGTCTGTTTCTTTTCACTTTTTTGTCTCCATTCTTTTTTCTTTGTTGTTGTCTGCATGTAAGCCATTTCATTTATCATTTATGTTTTTCCTTTTCGTATCTGTAAATGCTGCTGGGTGATTTTCAACGTACCAATGCTTCTGTTCTCGCTTTGGTTCCTTCTTTTTCTTATTCCCCTTACCCCCTTCCGCTGTGCTATCAAATGTTAAACTTGCTGTGTTGTTGATGGTGGGGCAGGAAATTACTGAAGACTGAAATTACCAAGTAGTTAATGGCATCAACATCTGGCGTTGGTAACAGCTCAATACTCATCAAAGATGTAGCTTCAAACTTTCGTGCATATCCTCCTCCTCTAGCAAAATATGAGGAAGTTGTAGACAATTCCCAGCTCTTCATGTTTACCTTGGAGAAGCTTCACGCATCTATGGGTACCAAATACATGTAAGCTCCCTGGATATCATTTGGTCGTTACCTGTATATAAGTATTTTCTTTATTTGCTTTATAAGTGTTCTTACGTGCGAAAACTTTGAGCCCTCCATAAACTGTAAGAGAGGGTGAGTTGGCTGGAAAATCTGTAGAGGTGAATTAGTAGAGCTTGTTCTTGGTTCTTTCTGAAGATTGGAATGCAAACTTGTGCCATATTCCTGGCATCGTGGTCTATAGTTATCTGTATTGATTTTGAGATTGATATATCTGATGATATTTTATGGTTCTACCTAAGAAATCTTAGCGGCATTCTTTGTTTTATCAACGAGTTTATAATAATGATGATGCCACAATGTCTGCAGCGGGGCCTCAGCATATAGTTTGTAGTTTCTGGAAGAACTTTGCCGTCCTAATTAATGTCTTTTAATTGCACAACTTTGAAGATTCAGAAGGCCTGGGGCCCCTCCCTTAAATACCATTTTTAGTTACTTTTATTGCGTTTGAAATTTGTTGCAGGATTCCTACTGTTGGAGGAAGAGAACTAGATTTGCATCGCCTCTTTGTTGAAGTGACTTCCCGGGGAGGGATTGCAAAAGTAAGATTTGATCATAACTCCCTTTATTGCTTTGCTTTTCCATGTCTTACAATTGCCGTGCATGTCTAATGTCTGTGACTGGTGAATTGGAACAAGACAAGTTTTCTGGTAATAACTTTATAGGTAGCTATTGAATATGCACGAAAGCTGGCTGAAATGTTTCCGTTCTCAATGTGTCAGTGAATCTTGTGAATTTCCCTTTTCATTATATTGATGTTTATCAAGGAGGCTCAACTTTCTTTTAATGTTCAAGGTCATTGTATTGTTCGTGTGAATAACGGTTTCTATGCTTTTGTAAATTTTGATTATAATCTAGTTCAATTTATCTTGTATTTAATATTTTTTCTAGAGTGTTCTCAGTTCAAGATTATGATAGAACAATGTCGTGAGAAGTTTTTGGGTATCTATTGTCCTCCATACTTCTATAGCTATATTATGGTTTGAATGGAAAGAACGCATTTTTGTATGATATTCTAGCAGAAAACTGTGAATTATTTTCACTATTGTGGTTGTAGTGCTAAAAGTTATAACCAGTTCATCTGTCTTGCAGATAATTAGAGAGAGGAAATGGAAAGACGTAACTTCAGTCTTCAATTTTCCGTCAACAGCCACAAATGCTTCTTTTGTGTTGAGGAAGTACTATGCTTCACTGCTTTACCATTATGAACAAATCTACTATTTTAAATCCCGGGAATGGGACCCTACTGCTCCTGGTAATTTCATTTAAACCACATTGTTGGTTTGAACTAATGTTAAGGGTGGGTCCGTTCTAATGTAAAGTCTTCATTTCTCTTTGACAGATGTTTTGCAGAACCAATCAACCCTGGCAGTTCCTCCTCCAAAAATTCAGTTTCCACAGTCTTTGCCAGAAATTCAACCAGCCGTCTTTCAACAGTCAAATGTTAATGCTGCTAAATTGCCTGAAGGTCTTTATACTTTCTTTTTGTTTTCCCAAAACAATATTAATTGCTGATTACAATTTACTAAGCAAAAGAAAAAAAGGTTTATCCTGGTCATGGTAATTTTAGTCTTACAGCACTTTTTAAGACTACACTTGGAATGATCGAAAATGGTGGACTGGAATAGAATGAAATGACACCGGTATCCATTTTTGGATTGGCTAGAGCAAAGTAGAATGGAACTTAATGGGATATTCCCTCAATTTGGGGATATTGGATGGACCAATTCTAATTCTCACCATTTCGTCCAACTTTTAAACAATAGGAAGCAAAATTTACTACCTTCTCGTGTCCACCATAAAATATCTAATGAATGGTATAGTAATTCTATTATTTTTACCCCCACTTTCCTCAACTCATTACTGTATATCCAAACATGACCCCCTTTTTTTTTCATGAAATAGTCATACTTGAGAGCAGGTTTAGAGTTGGTGTGAGCATGATTAAGTACCTAACGTTTTATATGCATGCTAGGTGCCACGACGTGGTTTACCAGAAGCAGATCTAGTGTTTTATCTCCTTTTGAGATTTATGTTCCATGACATAATATAAATGAGCATTGTATCAAATCTCAATGCCCATTTTGTGCAAACTGGAAATTGTTTTCTATATATTTTGAAAATTTGTGGCATATTTTTATGAGTTTGCGTTTATTTGGCTCACTTGTATTGATTTGGCTATAATATTAATTTGTATGAAATATCATTTGCAAAAGGGAGATCTCTTATAAAAGTATCAGATTTACGGGAAGTTAACCACTTATTCTATTACTAACAGTTGAACTTGTCTTTTTGATTTGGCCATGGTATTAAATTGTACTAAAGTTCATCTGCAAAATTGTAATCTCTTGCAAACTAATGGTTACAAGAAGTTGACCAATTTTTATATTACTAATAGACTTGAAGTTGCACTTGTTTTTTTTTTTTGTAT